GAGAGCTGGGTCTGTTTAGCCTGGAGAAGAGAAGACTGAGAGAGGATCTCATCAATACTTAAAAATATCTAAAGGGCAGATGTCTAGAGGATGGGGCCAGACTCTTCTCAATTCCCATTCGTCACTGTGAGGTTGACTGAGCACTGGGACAGGCTGCCCAGAGAGGTTGAGGAGTCTCCTTCTCTGGAGAGATTCAAGATCCGCCTGGACACGATCCTGTGCAACCTGCTCTAGGTGATTCTAGGATTCCGTTTTAAAAAAAATAAAAATAAGGGCATATTCACTTAAGTGTCCTGCAGTGCTGACGTTAACTGGCACACTAGCAGCCTGAAGTACAAAACCTGGTAGGATTTAGATCTTCCTCCTTCTCAGACCATTACCTATGGTGGAAATTCCTAGGTGGCCCTGCATTTTCAGATCTGGAACGCTGGCCGCCACAAATACTACAGATCTCAAGATCAGAAAAAACCATTTATTACAGAAAAGCAGCAAGCTGATACAATTTTACAAGAGTCACAGTGAAATATCTTTTTTTTCTTTTCCCCAGGCAAATATGACATTATCATGTCACTATTCATTCAGCTTTTTAAAATCTAAGAGTAAGCAATAATAGGAACTACATTACTAGACAACATTGGCAAAGCTCTAGCAACAGTTGGAATCTGAGACAGAAAGATGTAATTATATGGTAGATTCTCAACAGGTTTTTGCACAATCAGAGTTTGAAAAGCCATACTGCTTATGTCAAATTTGACATGACAGTAAGAATTGGGCTGTCAACATATATACTACATTGCAACGGCCTGTTGACTTCAATACTTCAATAGTCTCAGTTAGAATGGGGAAATCTTGGTGATCCACTGCAGTTTCTAAAAAGCTTGAGTGGGTACAAACGTGAGCAGCTACCAAAAGCAAGCTGTGGCTCTATCTTTTTGGATGAGAAAAGAGATGATTTGGCTAAAAATTCACAAAATTCTCCCCACCATTGAGAAAAGCAGAGTTTTGACCATTTGCACCAGCACCAGCAAGGACGTAAACAGGGATGGCCCCTGTTGCATTTCCAACCAGTGGTTCTACTCTGTTAGTGCTGAAAGAAGTCAGAATATGCAATCAGCTTAAAGAGCAGAGGAACTGAAAGTACAAGACTCCAAACTGTTCTATGATTTATCCAAGTAGTTTGTAATTGTTGACTTCCTTCTGCAATTGCCACTTCCAGCAATTTGTTGTCTCCAGGTGGCAATGTCAATTAAAGTAAATTTTGTGACATCCTACAGGCCTACACATGATGAAATATGTATGTGAAACTACGTCATTTTTTTCCTTTTTGCATCGACCTCAAAAAGGGCATTAAAAAAAAAATCTTAAGGCTGCCCTATAGTATCACTGAACAAAATGCTGAACTCTGCACCTCTACTCTGCTCTGGTGAGACCCCCCCCTGGAGCACTGCATCCAGCTCTGGGGGTCCCCAGGACAAGAAGGACATGGAGCTGTTGGAGCGAGTCCAGAGGAGGCCATGGAGATGGTCAGAGGGCTGGAGCACCTCTGCTATGGAGACAGGCTGAGAGAGTTGGGGTTGTTCAGCCTGGAGAAGAGAAGGCTCTGGGGAGACCTTAGAGCCCCTTCCAGTCCCTGAAGGGGCTACAGGAAAGCTGGAGAGGGACTGGTGACAAGGGCATGGAGTGACAGGACAAGGGGGAATGGCCTGAAGGTGAAGGAGGGGAGATGGAGATGAGATCTGAGGAAGAAATTCTTCCCTGTGAGGGTGGTGAGGCCCTGGCACAGGTTGCCCAGAGAAGCTGTGGCTGCCCCTGGCTCCCTGGCAGTGGTCAAGGCCAGGTTGGATGGGGCTTTGGGCAACCTGGGCTGGGGGAGGGTGTCCCTGCCCATGGCAGGGGGTAGGATCTAGATGGGCTTTGAGGTCCCTTCCAACCCAAACTATTCTGGGATTCTATGATTCATTCTATGATCCAAAAAATGAGTGAAGCATTCTAGTGTCCATAGCCCTAGCTGTCGTCTAAAGGTGAGTCTCTTAAGAACGTATCTTCTTTGTGATACAGCAAATGGAGTTTGGTGTTGGCTCTGGATGCCACACAGAGCAAAAGATTGAGTTTTACCTCCTCTTGTGCAGGGACAGGGTGGATGCCAAACACAATCCTCCTTTCTAGGCCTGAGAAACGTCGGATGCTGTCAAGAACAATGACATTTTCTAAAACATTCTCCGCTGACCCCAAGACCAACCTTACCCTGAATTTCCTGACTCGTTTTTTTAGCTCAGGTTCCAATATCTGACCGAACTCCTGGGCTGCATGCTGTGTACTGCACAGGATTGCAATATCTTTGACAGGATAGCCTTGCTGGATATAGCTGTTGCACTCCCTGGTCACATACTCTACCATTTCAAGTGTTCCCATATTTTTTTTCTTTATGTAGTCGCCTGGCAAAGAATGGGCACATTTAGCCTGTCTGAACAACTTTGCCAGCATCTCACAGGGCATATATGTGTTACGATTTTGGAGGATTTTCTCCATTACATCAAACATGACATTGTATATTTGCTTGGCATTACGGACCACTTTTGTCAACTGTTCCTGAGGATATAGTTCTGAAAACTTAAGACCACAGCCATATGGGTGAGTGGACTGGAAGAAATCCAGGAAGACCCATAAAACGCCACTTTTTCTCTGGACTAGCTCCCGGGCACATTGGTGCCAGTTTTCCTCACGACGAAAATTCTGAGCTTCATCAGCCACAATGTGTTTCACTTCTGGGAAGTTCCCATTTAAGAAGGCAACACGTGTCACAGACCGGCAGATCTCATTTCTAAAAAGAAACCAAAACACACCCCCCCCCAAAAAAAAGTATTGTAAATAAGAAGATATGACCAGATAAATCCATATTGACTGCCTCCATTTCTCAGTGGGTTCTTCCTTGGAGGGCTATTGCTGCTTACTGTCTAAAAATGCAAAACTTCCCACCTCAGCTGCAGCATGCTGTACCATTTCCCCCACAGAAACATTTATTCCAGCGGGCTGGCTGTGCACAGGCGTAGCTGCACAGCCCTCACCAACTTTGGATCTACCTGAGGAGGAGACTCAGGCCCACCTTCCTACATGGGAGCCCCATGGGCAGGCTCCCCAGGGTGACCCTCTGCCCTCTCTGCCTGGCGCACGGAAGGGAGCTCCTTTTCTCCCCAGGGTGAGCAGGGACTGGCAGCACTTCTGCTGGACCTTCTGCCTGCTAAGGCCAGGACCTGCCGCGTGGCACTGCCATGCCTGAGCCAGGCTGCGATTCCCTGATGCAAGGTGCCTTGTCCACCGTGGTGGCCGGCTGACCTCTCCATGTTGACATAAGTGGAAACGCAGTGAGAAAAGGACTGGGGAACTGCTCTGCCTGAAATCCGCTACCAAAAGGGCATTCATTTCTGTTCTCCTTGTCCAGATGGCCCAGGTCCAAGGTCCAGTTCCTAGCACAGCTGCACAAGAACTTGCATTAGCCCCACCAGCCATAATAGACTGTTAAGCTAAGGCCGTCATCTTTTGAAGGCCTAACGCAATCCAGCAATCACGGAATGTGGAATTCTCGCTGCAGTCAGCGAACGCTGGATCTGGGCCAGAGCTCAGCTCAATAATACTTTCAATATTAACATCTTTCTTGAGATGATTGTTGTGCGTTTGTGCCAGCCAAAGTTCTATATTTGGCAAATGGATGCAGAATCAGCAGGGTTTGTGCTGCATGTACAGAGGATGGAAGGAAATAAAAAAGGGGAAATGCACATTACTGCTTACCCCACAAACTTCTTCAAGGGTTGATTTTCACAAATGTAGAGTACCTCTTCTGCAGAACAGTGAAAAATGTTTCTTATTCTCTCAATGATCTTCAAAGCCACGATTGTTTTCCCTGTTCCAGGAAGACCAAGGACAAACTGCTCCTTGGTTTTGTGCAGGTTCTTGGAGAGGAGCTTATACTGTTTGAGAGTGAGAAGGTTGAAAATCTCACAGCCAAGATGGTCACTTAAGTACGACTTAAAGCGCAGCACAACAATCACAAGTGCACGCAGGAAACTGGAGGTGAGGATGTAATTCTCTGGGTATAAGCTGGCATAATCGCACAGGTTTTCTTGCTGGGGAACATCATCCTCTGCAACTTCCATCTGGTTCTTTGTGCCATTCAGGTGCAGTACTTGGGGAATCACACACACTTTTGAAGCGTATCCCCCATCATTGACTAGTTTCTGCTTTAATGCATAAGCAGTTTCTCTTGAGTTTTCAGACTCAGCAGAAGAGGCAGCCTTGACTACAGTATACAAAACTGGATATGCATTTTCAGCTACTAAGAGAGCATCACACACAACATCCTGTTTTTTCGGCAATCCGATGTCAACAGCCCAACTCCTTGAAAATATCAGTACCCCCTTGTTAAGTGGATGGATTTGTTTTTTCATTAAATCCTCTAATCCAGGATATTCTGAGAACAGGTCGGTGCAGATGGTTTCTGGTTTCCATTTGATTTCATTAGAACCCACTAGAAAAAAAGAAATCAAAGATTAGAACACCAAAATAAAGCAAATAATTTATTCAACACACTAGTTACTGAAGGAATATTTTATACCACGAGGTCATCAAAGTAAATGATTTAGCATGAGTAAAAAATTCAGCATTCCCATGATACCTGGTGGTAAATCTGTGAGGATTTTTTATATGAATAAAAGAGGTATAACTCCATGCTTCAGGCATGCTTGACTTCTAAATGGAATAAGAAAAAGTCTCTTTGGAGGGATCTGCCTCCTTTCTATCTGCCTTCTCATTATTTAGGTATTCCTCTGACAGACATATTGCTGCCACAGTGAGAGACTGGTGGTTGAAGCAGATGGAACATCCTGCTTACAGCATCTCCTACCCTCCTGACGGGTAAAACACAATGCGTACAGGAAGCGAAAAGGCACCTCGAAGCATCGTCAGTCTCTTGATGATTAAATACACATTCCTGTTAAATATAGAGGAATACATGAAGGTATCACAACACTACACTGGGTGCTCCTCCAAAATAACAAGGAACAGTAATTTTAAAAAATATTAACATAAATCTTGTCTTAAATTTACAGGTTAAAATTACAGCCATGCACATTCATAACACACAGACAAATCTCAAATGCAAGCATACATTTGCACTGTGTCATACAGCCTTCTGTTTAAGAAAACCACATTCTCATCAAGAATCAGCAATTGCATATCCTGTACCAAACAACTATTAACCCATCAGTAAATCAATCATCTGAGAGTAATCCTGAAAACGTATGTGAAAAGATAGCAAAATTACAAAAATAAATAGAAAAATTAGCAAGTAATACATACATCCTTAGGTCAGAATTTGGAAAAAAAAAAAAAATCCACAAACTATGTTTAATGAGAAGGTATCTGTTTGCAACTGATTGGAGTGGTTGTGATACCGGACAAGGACCTGGAATTCCGCGCCTCTCCCGTGGTCTCAGGGCTTGACCTAAAGCCACAGCCCTGCTCTGCAGGAACATTATAGGATTTACATTGCCCTTAGCTACTCCCATTCCCTTGTTTTTCAGGGCTTGGTACGTGGGAGTATTTGTTACTCAGCAACCATCCCGGCTTTTATAGCCGCAGTGTTTCTGAAATAATCAAAGTCTTCACCTAAAAAATAAAACCAAGGCAGGGTTCTCCACCCCTGCACGGTAAGGGCTGAGCTTTACTTTCCCTGGCGTGTCCCAGCCCAAAGTTCCCCCGTAGCAGTGAGCAGGGCGGTAAGTCAGATGAACGTCCAAGACAGACATCCGACATCCACAGGCTTGGTGCCTGGCCCCGCAGACCAGCAACGCAGCGTTGGTAGCACGAAGCCGTGGGGCCTGCACTGAGTTTGCAAGGCCTCAGGTCAGAGGCTCATCTGGTTACTTTGGCTGAATTTTGGTTGACCTGTTTGGAGCTTTGTTTTCACTTGGTTTGTCTGTAACGGTGTTTTTTCTAATAACCAGGGGGCTGTGGATAACAACCATCAGTTTATACAGACAGCAGCAACACGCAGGTCTTCTGCACAGGACGAGATGAGATCTTTCTGCCTATAACATGAAGATGCAGAGTGCAGAAACACAGGTCTGGTAAGACAGCAGAGGTCCTGAGACATGGGATACAGCATGCAGGGCTGAATTCAGGTGTGGGGCAGGGAGAGACAGAGCACAGGAGACCCCAAGGCCAGAAACAGCTCTCAGATGGTCAGATAAAGAAATGCAGCCCCAGAGCTGGACAAAACTGATTTTAAGGGTAACAGAGAACAAGTAGCTAACTTCTGTGAAACACACTGTTTACTAAACTCCAGTGGAGCACTGAACTGGCAGCCCAGTGAAGAAAGAACAA